CATTTCTTCTTTTAATATTTTTTTTTACTGTTATATCTAATGTTAATTCTTCTGATCTTAATTCTAACTTTAATTCTTTTAATCTACTTTTCAAGTCTGTTGTTTTTTCTTTTATTTCTTTTAATTTATTTTCTTGAATTAATATATCTTCTTCATATATTCTTTCTTCTTCATCATCATATGGATTTAGTTCTCTCATTTGGCTTAATTCAATTTCATTACACACTTCTTTTTCCGTTAATTCATCAAGTCTTTCTTTTTTTAATTTTAATTCTAATTTTAATTCTTCTATTATTTTATAAGAATTAATTATTTCCATTCTTTTTATTATGTAAAGAAATTTATTTAACTCATTTCAAAAAAAAAAAATTTCTTGTAAGATGTACAATTTTTTCTTGTATCATTTGCTAGAGTTATAATGTGATGTCGTCGTCGTTAAAGTATTTGTATTAGCATTCGTTAAAGTATTTGTATTAGCATTACCAGAAGTAGCTGTTACGCATATATTCACATTAACATTTGAGTTGTTCATTTTTATATATGTAAGATAATTTTGAATTGCTTTCAATTCTGTATTATTAACCCATGAGTTAAAAGTATTAGGATATCCATACCACTTTACAAATGATTTGTTACCTTGTTTGCGAATAACCTTTTCAATTCTAAATATCTCTTGATTTGTTTTTTGAAGTTCTTGTTCATAAAAAGTACCTTGTATTTCTTCATTATTGTAATCAGTTATTTTATAAGTACCTCTTCAGTCCATCTTGGTGTGTATCCTTTTTCAAATGTTGCTTTCTTTTTAATTATTCTTACTTTATCACCTATTAAAAACTTGGGCTTGATAGGATTTGATCTAACTTTACCATTTAAATTTAACCAAGCTATATTCTCATTCTTTTTATCGCTTGCTTCAGCTGGAGTCATTTTAATTGAAGAATGTTTTGTGTTGTTGTATTGATCTACCATTTCATCTAAAACATCAATGTATTTTCTAGTAGAATTAGCTGAAAAGTATTTGAACATTTTTTCTTTCATTGTTCTATTCCATCGTTCAACTACACAGCTTTTTTCTTCATTTTCAGTCGAATAGAGATGCACACCTAATGCTTTAACATGCTTATTATAAAATTCTAAGCCTTTATTTACCCATAATTTATTGCATTTCCTATCTTTAAATATTTTATTAAATGCATTAGCAACTTCAATTCCTGTCTTACTTTTCAACGGAATTATCCATCCATACTTTGAAAATATATCAATGATCATTAATAAGTATTTTATACCATTATTAAATTTAGAATAAGCTTGCATGTCAACTAAATCAGCAGCCCATATTTCATCAATTCCATTTGAAATTACTTTTCTTTTTCTAAAATGTTTTATAACTGGTTTATGAAGTTCATTTGCAAGTTCATCAGTCCATTTCAAGTAGTTTGCTTTTTTCCTGTGCGCTGGTAGTTTTTTTGACATAATTCTTTAATACTTATGGGTCCCATACCAAACTTTACTTTAGCAGATGGTTTTATAATCTTTCTTTCTAATTTTTCACATAACTCTTTAATACTTATTGGTCCTTTATTTACCATACCAAACCTTACTTTAGCAGATATGATAGGTTTTATAATCTTTCTTTCTAATTTTTCACGAGGTGTAGGATTAGGTATAGCATCCATTTGTTCAAGCATCATTTTATCAGCTAAGTTTCTATGCTCTTTGTCTGGATAATGCTTATAAGCAAGATCATGAATATAAGCTGTTTTATCAACTCTATCTACAGGCATGCTCCATTCTTTAGGCATTTCAGTAGAAGTTAATCTTTCATCTAAATTAGTACCAGGTCCTACAAAGTTCATACCTGGTATATGCATTTCACCTGGAAACTTTTGCAAAGGTAATTTTTTATTACTTGTGAAATTTATTAATAGATTCTACTAAATCACCTCCGCTTGTTCCTTTTGTAAATTGACATTTTCTTGTTCCACATAGTGCACAATTTCCACGTAGCATATTTCTATTGTTTTTACTTACAGCATGCTCTAAGTTGATTGTATCTGTTTTATTTTTACATTTAACGCAGTACATTTTTTATATATGTATATTTATTTTAATTTATTTAACATAAATCTATTTAAAAAAATACTTTTTCATAAATAAAAAATGGATATTATAGATTTATCATGGAATGTAAATAAAAGTAAACGTCATAATAATGAGTTATTACCTAAAAGTATAAGAGGGATTATTGTTGGAAAATCAGGTTGTGGAAAAACAACATTATTATTAAACTTGCTCTTAAGACCTGGCTGGCTAGACTATAATAATTTACAAGTTTTTGGAAAGACACTTTTTCAGCCTGAATACAAAATATTAAAAAATTCTTTTGAAAATAAATTACCAAAAGAAGTTATTCTTGAACTATTTAAGTTGCAAGATCAAATAAATAAAAACAATGTAAGTTTAGAGTTTATTATTAAAAACATTTCAAGAGATTTAAAAGATAAAACAGATATAGAGTGTAAATTTTTTGAAACAGCAGATGATGTTCCAGAACCTGAAAATCTTAACTGTATTAAAAATATTATAATGATATTCGATGATTTACAATTAACAAGGCAAAACAAGTGTGAAAAGTACTATATAAGAGGAAGACATAGCAATGTAGGTTGTTTCTACTTGGCGCAAAATTGTTTTGAGTTGCCTAGGAGAACTATAAGAGAAAATGCAAATTTTATATGCTTATTTCCACAAGATTCGAAAAATGTAAATCATATTTATAATGATCATGTTTCAAATGATATGAAATTAAATGAATTTAAAAAATTTTGTAATAAATCTTGGTCAAAGAAGCATGGATTTGTTGTTATAGATTTGTCTTCTGATTTATTAAATGGAAAGTATAGAAGTGGATTAGATTTATTTTATTATCCAAATTCGTTGTGGGATCGATAAATATATATTTTTTAAAAAATATATATTATGAGATTTCAAAGTCTTTTTGTTCTAAAGATGAAGACCTAATAATGGTATATTCTTAAATCGAGAATTTTCTCCTAATAACAAGCCTCTACCTACTGATGAATATTCATCTCCATTTTTAGAATAATATTCGTTTAAATAATCATAACTACCATTCCATGGGTTTAATAATACTCTTTTTCCTACTTTTATAATTTTACCATTCTTTTTCATATAAATATTATCATATTTTTTCTTATGATTAATACCTTTTCCAGCAATTTTATTAACTATAGTACTTCCAGCAGCTGCAGCTGTTCCAGTCAATAATCCTGTTGCTATAGCCGGAACAACTTTTGACGCAATTAGACTTCCAATTATTCCTAGTAGAGGTAAAAATCCGCCATTTACTTTAGCATTATGTTTAAGTTGTGCTCTACTGAGTGAAAGTGTTATACCAGTATTTTTCATATATGCTGCTTTCATTCTGTTTATTTGCGATTCTGTTAAAGCTATTTTATGCTCACCATCTAGATCTTGATGTGATAGTTCTATTCTAGCATTAGTACCAGATTCAGTTACTTTTTTAATTTTTTCTTTCTGACTATCTGAAAGATTTATAAGAGTATCATAGTATTTTGACATTTTTTATATATAAAATAATTTTTTAATTCATTTTATGAATCCTTGCTTCGCTAATTCATTTTAAGTTATTTAATAGATTGCTTTCTGCAATACTTTATACTCATCGTCATCTATTTCACCTTGCCTTAACAGCTCATCACAAATAGCAACAGTTTCATTTTTAACTCCAGTACTGCCAGCTTGTAAAGCAGCTAAGCGTAATTTAAGCATATCAAATAGTGCTTTAGGATCACTAGGAAGAATGATAACTCCTTTTCCTGACTTTCCAATCATCTCTTCCCAAATAGGTTTTATTACATTAGTGTACTTATAACTTCTAGATGATCTTGGTTTAGCTGAATTTAAATCAGAGCGAATTGCATCTGTTTGATTTAAAATTTCTTTATACTTATTACGATCATCGTTAGTATATTTAACAGGATGAGATTTTACTATGATCTCCCAAAGACCAGGTGTTCCAATGTATTTTTTATCTTCAATAGTTATATCATTACCTTCAATAGTTATTGGTTTTTTACCAATGTAAAATTTTTTATTATCTTCATTGTAATGTACCAAATATGTCATCTGATACTTTTTTACTATTTTTAGCAGTGTATAACTTTAGATATTCTGCTGCGATAGCTCCTAATGACATTTTATTTACAATTTCAGGTGACAGATCCTGAAAGGATCCCTTCTCTTTAATTGCTTTAGTTTCAGAATCTAGTAAAGCAGGATAACTTGAAAAAGTATTAGCTATTTGATCAGCTTTATTTTCTAATTTAAATAAGGCTTATTTTCTTTAACCCATCAATTTCTTTTGCTAATTTTAATCTTGCTTCAATATCTGTAGCTTTTTATAAACGGCATTTTGTATAAATAATATTTTTTTTAATTCATTTAATGAATCTGGATCCTAAAGGGATCAAATCAACATAATATATGTTCAAGTAAATTTATATATATACACTCAACTCTGGTGATGCACAAGTTGGACAATCTGGGAGCTATGCTGCATTAATAGGACAATGCTTCTACTATGCATAAACGCATGCGCACAAGACCAATCTGAAAATCACGTGACCTGTGACGTCATGCAAGAAAATTTCGTGACCTGTGACATCAAAGAAATGAAATTGATACTAATTTTTAAATTTTAAAAACTCATTTTTAAAATTTATATAAATTTAAAAAAAATTTATTTCTTAGTTATAATATTTATACACATTATGGATAACATTGAACCATATATTTAATTAAATATATGGTTGAAAATATGGTTAAAAATGAAAATGAGCTAGAACCGGCATATCGCCTCTACTCTTATGTGCTTAGTGCAGGAAAATAATTTATAGGGATAGTGCTATTTTACATGAACCGATGCAAAAAATATAGTAACAAACTAAATTTTTTAGGAATCTTCTCTTATCAAACTCGTCGTTTTTTGATATTGACATACACTTCTTGGTTTGGCGGCGCGTGGCCAATCTATTCTTCATCTAAATGCAGCTTCAATACATCTATGTTTCAAATGACGCAAAATAAAGAACTGTTAAATATCAGCCAAGTTGTGATGTTTCACTCGCGTGACATGCCATCAATACAAGAGTTGGAAAAACTAAACAGTTTTCGTGGAAAAGAGCAGCTATGGATTTATTTTACAATGGAGTCTATTTACAATAATCCTAGTGTATACAATATAGACCAATACTTTAATGCAACTGCAACATATGGAACAGACACCGATATTCCAATGCCTTACAGGTATCATAGCAGGAAGCATCATGTAAATGACAGTATTAGCAAAAATTATTTTTTAAATAAAAAAAATATGGTAGTCTGGCTAGTTAGCAATTGCCATTGTTATGCTAGAAACGAACTTGCATTAAAACTAATGTCTTACGGTGTTGATATAAAAATTATTGGTAAGTGTTCGGGTTTTTTTTCAAGAAAACTGTCTTCAATGTGCAAAAATAAACTGTGCTTTAAACCCGTTTTTCAACAATATTTTAAACAGTACCTTCGTAGTTTTAAATTTTTTTTTTCTGCTGAGAACTCATTATGTGACGGCTATATTACGGAAAAGTACTGGGAATCTGGTCTTGATAATGAGTTGATACCAATAGTGTTAGGAGGATCCAACTATTCTGATCCAAAATTAGCTATTCCAGGCTCTTTTATTGATGCAATGTCATTCGATTCTCCTAAAGCTTTGGCCAATTATATTTTAGATGTTAGTTCAAATTCTACGAAATATAATTCTTTCTTCGAATGGAAAAAAAACTGGCAGTTAGATAGTTCTAGTAGATTTTGCATGCTTTGTGATAAATTAAGAAAAGGTTTTAATCTTCGAGCGAATCCTTTAATTAAAACTATGGATATAGAAAAATGTATCAAACCTCAAGAAAAGTTTAACATTTGGATAAATAAAAGTTAAAAAGATCAATATATAGAATAAAAAAATTTAAAGCATTTTTTTAATTTATTTTATAATGGATTATGTATTTTCACAAATTTATTTTGATGAAAAAGTTATATATGCTTAATTAACATTAAGTTTTTTTCAAATAAGAAAGTTCTATAAAAGATTTTGGCTGAAATAACTTTTTTAATAAACCAAGCTTTGAAAAAAAAAAGAATCAAGGATTCATGTAATTTTATTTAAATTCGTAGTTTTTCTATATTTTTAATTTTAAAACTTAAGATACAAATATATAAAAAAATAAAAACAATAAGTTTTACATCAAAAGGTACAAAAAAATGTTATTCCAAATAACATCTGTTCGGAGTAGTATACAGTTTTGGACAAAACATTTGCAACCAACATCGAACAATGCTAAAAAGTGTTCCTAATTTTACATGTCTTAAATACGAAACGAACTATACTACCACAACAAACAGTTCAGGAGTCTGGAGTCATAGCATGCCATGACATGAGCAATTAGCTGGCAGGTGACAGCACACAGGTAGAATTTCGTTGACAAGTGTATTTTGTAGCGGAAAAAACAACTTTTTTGGTTTCTTTCATTTTCATAAGTCTGGTCCGTGTCAACGTCACGGAAGTTTTTTAATAATTAAAGGAAGTACCCAGAAGTTTCCAGAAGCATGCAGAAGCTTCCAGACGTTTCCAGAAGAAGTATCTGGAAATATCCAGAAGTACCCAGAAACATTCAGAAGCATACAGACGCATCTAGAAGCAACGAAAAGAAGCATCTAGAATCTTCCAGAACGGGTTCACACAGGTTCATTTTACTATATAAGTGACATGTAAACCGACATGTAATAAAGTCAGTATATGGATGTCAATCAGTCAGTATTATCAAGACAGTTTATCGGAGTAAGTTTTATCAAAATGTTTTATCGAAGAACATCAATACAAAAAGTGTAATACAGTCCACATCCAACCAAGACGTTGTGTTCCACAGAGCATTATTGTATCATCACAAGGTAAATGTAACACGGTAAGCTTTGAGAAGCGTGATTATTTATTATAATTATTTTTATGACTTCAAGTGCAAAAATGGCTCCCGAAAGTCTTGGATTGGAACTAAGAAAGAAAATTATTGGCAATTACGTAAGTAAAATGTCACAAAAAAGTATTTGTGATAAACATCGCGTGAAAAAATGGACCGTATCAAGACTATGTTCCAAATATCGTTCTACGGGGAAGTTAGCAGTAGATAACAAAGGTGAAAGACCGCGTTCCTCCACTTCTAGAGATGATTCTATGATCTTCAGATCCGTCAAGAAGGATCCCTGGATATCATCAGTCGAGATACAAAAATGCAATTAGAGCTGCCTGTATCGGACCGAACAATCAGACGACGTGCTGTTGAAGCCGGATTGTTTTCTCGACTCCCTGCAAAGAAACCACTGATTTCACTAAAGAACCAGAAGAAAAGACTCCTGTTTGCTACATCTCATATTGACTGGAATGTTAATAAATGGCGAACTGCCCTGTTTAGTGATGAATCGAAGTTCAACATCATTGGAAGCGATGGCATTTGCCGTGTACGTCAACCGGCCAAAAAACGCCTCGATTTGCAATACTGCCATAAGACCGTAAAGCATGGTGGAGACAATGTAATGGTCTGGGGGTGTGTTTTTGGTAAAGGTCTAGGTCTAATACATCGAATTGATGGATAATGGACCGTTTCATGTATAAAAATATCCTGAAAGATGTTATGTTACCTCATGCTGAATGGAATATGCCAATAAAATGGGTTTTTCAGCAAGACAATGATCCAAAACACACTGCAAAAGCAGTCAAGCAGTGGTTTTAAGACAACCACCTATCGTTGATGGATTGGCCGCCTCAATTTCCGGATCTCAACCCTATCTAGAACCTGTGGGAGATTGTCAACCGCAGAATTAATTGTGAAGGTGTTTGTAATAAGGATCAATTGTTTGAACAAATCCAAAAGGCCTGGGCAGCAATTCCACAAAGTTTCAATGACCACCTGATCAAATCTATGCCTTGAAGGTGCAAGGCTGTGATCAACAAAAAAGGATTCGCCACAAAATATTGATAGCGAAATACAGCATGGTCAACATTCTGTGGAGTTGCACTTGTTTTGTCCAGAAGGAAATCAACTTTTTTTAAATACATTTGATTAATTTATTAATTTTTGTGTACTAATAATGAACTTTGTGATGAATAAAACTTGAAGAACGTTGTCTCTAAACAGTTACATAGCTATTTCTCTAAATTGAAAAAATGCAGCACTTTTATATAAAGAAACTAAATTAGCATTACTTGGTTGCACTTGTTTTGTCCGACACTGTAGATCTCCTAATAGATATTAAACTTTATATTTTCTTGAACGTTTTTTCTTTTATTTATTTCTTTATTTTTATTTATATCTTGGAACACCAGATACGTAACTAAAATAAGTTAACTGAATAGTAAACACTAACACAGATTAAGACTTAACATAAATGTGCTTCTCGCTTTTCAAAAGATTATCGCATTTTAATTTTTATGTTTAAAGTTAAAAAAGTAAAAATAGGATTCAACTTATAGAAATAAGTTATTTAAAAATAAAATCTGTTTTACCCAACAATATTTTGAGAAAAAAATATAGGTTAAAATTCTTTTATCGATCAATTTAAAGCTAAAATTCAATGAAAGAGTTAAGTAAATTACAATTTTCTTCTAATTCTTTAATAAAAAACATTAATACTTTTTATCTATTTTTAAGTATAAAAAATGTCAACTTTTAATTGTTTTTTTTTTACATTTCTTATTTTTATTCTTAATCATAAAATTTTTCAATGTTCTTATATCATTTTGGTGACAAATGCGACATCGCTAACAATCAAATAACAACGTTGCCATAACGTTGTATTTTAAGTTAACATTTCGTAATATTTTACGAAAAAATTTTAAAAAAATTTTGTTTTATCTTTTAATAAAATGTATAAGTTTCTTTATTCAGTAATTTATTTCGTAAAATTTTAAAAATGTCAAAATGTTTCTACTTTGATAAAAAATAAATTATAGATTATAGTCATTTCCACATTTATTTGACGTATAAATGTTGCATTTTAAAGAATAAAATTGTTTGTTTAAGAAATTAATGAAGAAGTGCGACGTTCAAGCGGCTCCAGAGGCTGGGGACTATGCTGTCTTTAAGCGACTTGCGGTAGACGAATGTAAGCGGTGTGGCAAAGGCTATTGTGCAGTTTTTTAGGAACCTTAGGTGGAGACATTTTTTAGGTGAGAAAGTGAGATTGAAAGTAATTTTTAAGGATGCTTGCTATTACCTTTCTGTCTGTAGTGATCTGGCCATTTACGTCTTCAAGTAATCAGACGGTGTCCTGGACTTGCTGCTTATGCTTTAAGTAGTTGTGTAGGCGTTTTGGGTTGGCTTTGAGGCCGCTAGTGATGTCTCTCATAGTTTACCACTGTTGCCTGGACGCTGTTGCTTACATTTTTGCATGAGACCTTATACTCGATTTGATTCCTGTTGTGTAGGGTAAGGTGGGGCAAGAAGCCCACCATAAGCAATTTCGTCTTTTTTTTACTGATCCAATAAACGTATCTAGAAATTTATGTTACCATTATTTTGGATACATAATAAACTTAAGTATCTAAAGTTATTTTCTTAATAACAACTCAAGTTTTAATGGAAATATGCTTTTTATAAACTGCTACAGAGTGGGCCTTTTGCCCCATTGCTGGGGCAAAACGCCCCTACCCTGGGCCTTTTACCCCAAACGTTAATAGCTTGAAATATTCCTTTTTTACAATAAAAATTTATTGCAACAATACACTTTTTACTAGTCACAATATATTTGTGTGTAAAAATGTCCAACACAAGTTTTAGTAAGAACACTTAGCACCATAATATTAGCAAGTAGCACCATATATGCTATCATATGACAATGGCAAACAGCACCGTAAAATTAATAGAGCTAAAAAAGAGCTAAAAATTTATAGACTAAAAAGATAGCTATAAAAACTAATTTATAGAGCTGAAAAACACAGCTAAAAGCTAATTCATAGAGCTTAAAAGTTGCTAAAAAAAACTAATTCATAGAGCTAAAAAGATATCTAAAAAAATAATTCATAACCCAAAAAGACAGCTAAAAAACTAATTCATACAGCTAAAAAGACAGCTAAAAAACTACAGTAAGACTAGTTGAATTGATTATGCCTATTGGCAGTGAAAGCAGACAGCAGTGTCATCAGGACCACAGTCGTCGTGGTACCAGTTGAGACATTCTGGGCATTGCTGCCAGTCATCAATGGGTGGTTCGTTAAATCTTTTACCACACATGCAACATGGCGTATTATCACTGTTAGTAACAAAACCTACACATCTTCGTTCTTTTGACCCTTTTCTTATCACGTTAGCATTCGATGCGTTTCTTTTGATTGTCCTTTTTGATTTTGTTCTCGCATATTGCTTCCTTTTCCCGGTTTCTTTGTCATCTCCACTTTTCGTTCTCTTGGATTTGTCTGCGATTACATCGATTTCGTCTTCACCATTTTTCTCATTATTATTTTCAACTACTACTTGCTTGTTCTGTTTTGCCTTCTTTGCATTTGCTTCAATTAACATTGCTTTATAAGGACTAGAAGTTATTACAGTTGCTGCTTCGGTTTTTCGTTTGTGACTGCGTACATTCTTTATCCTTGGAATAGGGCTTAGTTCTGATATAATCTGCAATGCTTCGGATAAACCAGGATGATCAGCTGTTTTATCTAGTTGATTTTCATCGGACTCATTGCTATCTCCTGTTGCAATCCTATCAGTCTCCATCACATTACCCGATGCTTCATCATCCACCGCATTGCCGGCATTTTCATTTGTATTCGTAGGTTCACTTGTTTCGTTTCTAGCTAATAATGCTCTTTCCATCATTTGGATGTGTTTAACGAGATCTTGTTCAATTTCAATAGAAAAAGTATTCACATGATTTCTTAATCTATTGCTCCCAACTTGTCTTACTTTGCCCTGAAAATGCCTTCTCAATGTCTTCCTTGAAACTCCAAAACTGTTTTCAGCT